CCAGTGTAATTTCCAGCAAATATTTCTTTTGTTTTCAGTGGTTTTCTTGACGCCATCTCCTCATTTTTGGTTTCCAAAACTCTCAGTGCACCTCCCCTTGCGGAAAATGAAATTTCAGAAAGCAAGCAGCACCTTTAGAAATCTAAGGTTGGACAGAGTAAGACAGTGATTTCAGGCAGGAGATGCAGCAGAATGGAAGTGATGCAGTTGGGAACAGCAGATGTGGCGTGGTACCACTGTGAAAGTAAGACCTAACTGCTGGTCCAGTCCTGGATGGAGTAATTTACTACTAATCTGAGGAAAGGCAAAACAAGATGTGATGGCTGCCCCTTTCTGAAGTTAAGTCCATTTGCTCAAACTATATGGGAGTGACATGGTTGGAGGGGAAGACGAGGGCAACTGAAAGCACACTATGAATCTGGTGGGTAGATGGAGCTGCCTTTTGCTAGCACTCTTGCTTCTCCAAAACTGTATGGCAGCTACCTGTCCCCCCATGCTCTACTTGAAGTCATTTTAATTAAACACCATTGACTGTCATAAGAAACAGCCAAGAACACATTGTCAGTCTTCCTAGATAGTTGTGGGTTTAACAGATTAATAATAAGATAAAAGCATAAGAAGAGGATCAGGCCAAGGGCCTATCTAGTCCAGCTTCCTGTATCTCAGTGGCCTCACCAGATGCCTCTGGGAGCACACAAGACAACTAGATACCTGTCTTCCAATCCTCCTCCCCTGCATCTGGCATTTTGAAGTACCTTCCTTTGAACCCTGGAGATTATACATCCCCATCATGGTTTGTAACCTGTGATGGACTTTTCCTCTAGGAATCTGTCCAATCCCCTTTTCAAGGCATCTAGGCCAGATGCCATCACCATATCCTGTGGCAAAGAGTCCCACAGACTAACAACATGCTGGTTAAATAAATATTTTCTTTTGTCTGTTTTCACTCTCCCGACACTCAATTGGAGTGGATGTCCCCTGGTTCAGGTGTGGCATGAGAGGGAAAAGATCTGAGACTGAGTGCAGCTACACTGGAATGCTGAATTGGAATGATTAGGCTTTGCTGTAATTTGATTCACAGCCTGTATTACATTTGAAATCACAATCAGTGCTCGCACAGGGGCTGCAGATTGACTTGGGAGTTCATTGTCCATACTTGACGTGACACAAGTCTCATTCCAGCCCACAGCACCCCCTTCTTTTCTTCCGTCTCTTGATCCCACCTCTCATTATCCTTTTATGTGGCATAAATGTGGGAAATAATAATGAGGGCCCAGCAATAAGGTGACAGGGTGATCTAGCAATAATTTTATGTATGTAAGTAATTTTAAAAACATTTTAAAAATGTGGGATTGTTGGGGAAGGAAAATAATGCAGGGGGATGTCTCCCTAGGTCTGAAAACACACCCCAACTGCCTACATTACCGAAACAAAACCTACAGACATGCCCCCCCATTTTTACAAGAACGTATCACAACTAGCTTCATGAAAAAAGTTCATTTCAATTATTTCAGCTTGAAAAAGTAGAAGCCCCCCTCAGCGGAGAGAAAAAGTTACTTTGGGAGCAAAAAAATTTTGGTCCAATTCAAATCAGCCTTGCTATTGTGCAGTCAGAAAGAAATATTCCAAATTCACTCATTTTGTAAGCAGAGCAGATCCTGTGGTATTGGACTATGTAGTCACACTCTCTGTCAGTTGGTTTCATTGTTCATAGGAATGTTTGTCGATTTCTCCTATTTGAAGCCAGCAAGTTAAAGTAATGGTGCATAAGAAGGTTGTGTGTTTCCTAGCAACCACATATGCCATCTGGTCAAGCTTGTGCTCTTCTTGGCATAAGGAAACCATACAACAGTTGGTGTAGTAGCATGTTAGTCTTCTTTCTGAATAGTAAAGAAAACGTCTATGCATGGATTAAATATTAACACCTTGGGGAGAATGTTTGTGCAGAGTGTGTGTGTGTGTGTGTGTGTGTGTGTGTGTGTGTGTGTGTGTGTGTGTGTGTGAGAGAGAGAGAGCGAACAAGAAATTCAAAACTGTCTTCCCATGAATTTTTAAAAACTATCCCTGTCATTGAGCTCTTTGGTCTTAGTCTGGCCAATATTTGGATGCCAAACCTCCTGGAAAAAGAAATTCAAAACTGTCTTGCCATGAATTTTTTAAAAACTATCCCTGTAATTGAGCTCTTTGGTCATAGTCTGACCAATATTTGGATGCCAAACCTCCTGGAAACCTGACTATAAGACACTTGGAGAAATCTTTAAAAAGGTCAATAAATTGTTTGCTTTATTGGTAGATATTGGCAGGCTTTATTAACGATTACTGGAATGGACATTTTTTTGGGGGGGGTGACACAAAGATCAAGTTCTTTGAATTTATTTGAAATGTAACCGAGAACAAGATTTGGAAGACAAAGGACATGGTTGGCTTGGTTGGGCTTATTAGCGACGACAGCCAGAAGCAAAGAAGCCACTACGTATATTAAATTAAGAAGAAAAGAGAGACAGCATGCTATTCAGTTTAATTAATTTGCAACACTGTAAAAGTGGCACTGCTTGAGACTTGGTATTTGCTTTCATTCTTATAGAGATGCTCTTAATTAAGATGAGACCATCTCAAATGATTAGTTTAATTTATATTCAGACTAACTTTATACCAGCAGAGTTGAAAAATAAAGAGAGGAAGTGGAGGTAAGAAGTAAAACACTAATATATAAGAAAGTATATTTTGAAATTCATTCCAGAGTACAATTTCCCAATAAAGTAACAGTGTGGACTGTCCTTGTTGTTATGTGCTATCAATTCAGCTCCAATTTATGACAATGGATTAATAACCTCCAAAATGTCCTCTCCATAATAGCTCTGCTCAGTCCTTGTAAACTCAGGGGTGTGACTTCCTTTATGGAGTCAATCCATTTTATATTTTGAACTTCCTCTTTTCCTGATGCCTTCAACCTTTCCTATTGTCATTGTCTTTTCCATCTAGTCATGCCTTCTCATAATGGGCCCAAAGTATGAGAGCCTCAGTTTTGTCATTTCCGATCCAGAAAAAGTGCAGACCTGATTTGATCTAGGACCCACAGCCTAGGCCTGTCAGACTTCCTGCAAGTTCAAGGTATCTACAAAACTCTCAGACTTCCCTTACATTTCTGAATAATATTCCAGTCCATGGGTATATTATGGTTGGAGTCCTTGGGAGGAACACAGGTTCATAACTTACACTGAGTAAGACTGCTAGTCTGTCTAATCAGAGCTGGACTGCTGTGCAATATGATCAAACTGCTACCTCAGATGGCAGCATGGAAAGAGCGGTACTGGCGATTTTCCTGATTCTTCTTGGCTACAAGATGATTTTCAGAATAAGCCAAGGGGTGGGTGGTAGCACTTATAGCATGATGGACACTGTCAATGGGAACAAAGCAGAGCTGACACCTTGGGGTTAATAGGGAGCGTATCCTTTGATGCCTCAGAGAAGAGAATCTAGTGCCACCACTGAATGTCAACAGCTTTGCAGATTTTCAGTTGAGGGATAAAAACTAAGAGCTACAGCTCACTGCTTTGCATGCAGATGGTTCTAGTCTCCGAACAGTGGCTCTTTGTGATTTTAGATGGGGCATGGAGCTTCATGTGGAAAAATTGGTCAGTATATAGACAATACTGAACTAAATGGACCAATAGACTAACTCGGTATGACACAAGTTCCTATGTTTTTAAAAGGTAGTGATTATACAAATCAGCTGTTTGGTGGACATGCATGATAAGGGAATTGATTGCAGGCCCTTCCGTCTCTTAAATAAAGTTATGGATTTCTGACCTCTGGACAGCTGTTCCTGCTGGATGAGAAAAAAGATCAGAAAAGAGGTGTAGTTTAGACTCAGGTTTCCTTTTTTTAGCTGGGTTTAAGCATGTAGGAATTGTTTCTGTGTTGCTAACAGGGCCCAGCCCTGTACTAGTTTGGGAACATATGGGAAGTCCATAGAGAATTCCCTGCTAGATTTTTCTACTTCATGTTTATTTGATAAAATTGCACCAGGTAAATGTAATCTTACTGGGCTCACAACCACCACCTGGATTTTATTAAATTTCCCAAACCAGGCAAATAGGACATGGTTGATCCAAGAAATGTTATGCACTTTTTTAAAGAAACAGAGCATTCAGTTTAAAATGAGGACATGTTAATTTTCAAAAGTTAACTTGATAATCAACTGATTTCAGATTCTTACAAAAAGATAACTCATCAGTACCATTATAGATAGTTCCAAGTGGCATTTCTGTTGCTCTTTGTGTTCCTTTAAAAAAATTAAGATCCTAAGGACTATGGATCTGTACTAGTTGCCTTGTTATGTGTAGATCTGCATCATATGACTATAAGAATGTATCTCCTTTTTGTTACTAGACCTTATGAACATCATTCTTGTTAAAGAAACACATAACATTGAATTGCAATTCAAATAATATATTAAGATTTCAGTCCAATATACGCTTTATAATAACATTATACAAACCGGTTATGCAGTGAACATTGACATGCCATCTTGACTCTTTCCTCACTCCACCATCCCCAGCCATACAAAAAAAATCTTTAGTCCTTTATATCACAGAAACAGCAAATTACACAGATTATTTAAAAAAACTTTAGCAGAGTGCAGGGAGACCATTAAGACTCAAAAACTGGGAGAAAGTGAAACAATTATGTTTTCTTAAAAGGACCCAACAGTTTTAAGAATATCACTCCCACAGTGGTGGACAACATCTGCATGTTCATTTGGCTTTGAAATTCTGAATGGATCTTGGTGTATTGGGCTTCCATATGAGAAAAAAGTAATGGATGGGTATCTCCAGATCAAACCAAGTGCAGCTTCAGACATAAAAATATAGTGGAAATTATAGATATACAAGTGTATCATCTATAGCCACTTTTCCCTGTTTTCCATCTCCTCTGAAGATGCTGGCCATGGAGACTGGTGAAACGTTAGGAAGAACAACCTTCAGAACACGGCCAAAGAGCCCAAAAAACCCACAACCATCAGATCCCAGCTGTGAAAGCCTTTGATAATACATTGAAAACAAACTAATTTGCAAGAAAAACTTGTGCTAGACAAATCGGCTGTTGTTCAGCACTTAAGGAATTCCTAATACTAACAATGCATCAACTAAATTGTACAGTTTGTCCCCTTAGTGCCTCCTACCACAAGGTGAAATGGCATCATGTAGATGGCACATCTCTTTGAATGACACAGTGGAAACCAAAGGAACCAGCAAAACAGTCATTCATTATTACCACTTTACTATAACAGTACAAAACACATTACAATAAAAAAGAAAGTTGCTGTAGCTGAGGACTTGAAGGGGACCACATAAACACCCCAGGAGAAATGGCACTAGCTCAATTGGTTCTTACAGTCCATCAAGGCTAGAAGGTTGGAAGTACAGCACATACATACAGCTGCTGGTTTGGAGCTCAAGATACCCATCCAATGTGACTATAGTCAACTGTTTCAGATTTTGAAAACTATGATCTGTACTGATACAATGACATAACTCTATACTAAACAATTCCACTTCAAATTGAGCTTAAAACACAAACATCACACAGGAGTAACTTGCTCCTTTATGCATGCCAAGGGAAAAATGTTTCTCATTTAATGTTTGTTTAAAAGCACACTCCTGACATAGCACCATTTTGAATACATCAGAGGCTGAAGTCAAGGCATTTGCAAAAAGAGTTTATTATTGTTATGAAAGCACTGTATATTTAGGATTATTTAACCATCTGAGACACTCTTTTTTCATTTCTTCAGTGGTGAGGTTGATATCAGAGTCAAATGAGATCTTGTTAATCTGCAGGACACGACAGAGGTTGAACTCCCTTTATCTCCAAGGCTTTGCTGAAGTTAATCTCTAGTGGCTTAGAGGTCCCTTTGGTGAGCTTCAAGGATCTAACACATCCTTTGAAACGTATGTTAGTGGTCAGGCCAAACTGATGCAGTCCATCTGTGAGACAAGGGGAGAGAAACAAAAGCAATTATGATTACTCTTCCTCTCCCAAAAGAAAACATTTTCTTCATATCCCACTTTCTGTTCATCAGTTGGGAATAGGAAGTATTGGAAACTATTACCAATTGTTCTGGCTCACACCTCTGTGCAAACTTGCCCAGGTTCTTGTATAAGTACAGGAGTCTGTGCAACAGCCTGTCACACGGATGGGTGGTTTGTTCTGATGTGATAGTTTGAATTTGATAGTTTGGCTGTCTTATCGTTACAAGCAGGTGGTCAGGCCTGTCAAAATGGACTGGACCAACCATCTATGGTCAGTTGTCACATAATGATTGCCAATAGAAGTTTGTAGATGGGGCTGGCCACATCAAATAGATAGGTGAAACAGCTGCCATGAGGTGGCAGTGGCTGGGGTGAAGCGAGGAATGGTGACAAGCTATCCTATGCCCCCTAAGGTAGTCTATTGCCTGTGCAGAAGGGACAGTGTCCTACTGCTAGTGCTGAAATAAAATTCAGTCTTCAGTCCAGTCACTTTCCATACATGAAAAGGAAAAGTCCCATTTTCTCCAGATGGCTCTGTTTGCGTGCATTGGTATGGTTACAGCCCTCTCTCCACAAGGTGCTACTTAACAATTACGTGCTTTCTTTAAACAAGGGCTTGTTCAAGACAGTACATATCTCTGTTTCTTGATTCCACTGATTCTGTTTTATGAAACCATGACTAGTAACCAGGTCAGTTTCTCACAGGGTAACTGTATGCATGCAGAGCAGGTGGTGGTGTTACAGGAGAGTGGAGCTTTGCGCAGTGCAGTCACTGAATATGGAGTGAATCAGCCAGGATTGTACATGAACCATTAGTTGGGTGGCTTCTCTAGAGTTGGAACTGCCTGCGCAACAGCTTGCTAAGACTGTGAATTCCACCAGCAGGATACTAGCCACAATATTTTGAAAAACATTTGCAGACCATTGAATGCCTAGATGGTATACTCACCAGGATATCCTCCAACAAAGACAGGGTCATTAGTCTCTGCTGAAGTGGAAGCTGCATTTGGACTGATGCCTTCCACATGATGGCCATCCACATTCAGCATTAAACGATGCTTTATCTTGTGTGCCTTAACCCTGTGCCATTGTCCATCACACAGGCTGCCTGGTATTGCAGGTTCATAGATGGCAGAGAATCGGCCTGCACCATTATCAACATGGAACATCACCTGGACAGCAAATGACAAAAACAATTAGGAAAACCAATCAGCTATAAAAACAAAACACAAATAAATGTGATGATGCTAACTGCAAGCCTTTCTGCTGTGCTGGCAGGGCCATTCTGCCTTAAAGCTATGCTTTGATGTACAATGTATGAAGCAGAGTCTATTATTTGGCATGTTTATGGCAGCATTCTTCTCCCATTAAAGGCAACAGTGGTTCAGTTATCCTCTTCAGCAAAAGCAGTGATTAAATGCTTAATCAACATAAATGTATGAATTTGTGCTGTACTCAGAGATGCACTTGAAATTAATTTGTAGCTGTAGAAACAATCTTGGCAGGAAAGCGTAACATTATGAGCATTCTGTGTGTCAGTTTAAGACTGCCAGGCGCTAAAATGGGTAATAGACTCGAAATAGTGTTTCGACAATGGGTTTGATGATTACAATGTTTATTTGTAAAGATTTGACCAACTTGCAAATGTTTTTTCCACTAAATGTGCAGCAGTATAAGGGACAGATTAGTCTCTGTGCAGTTTCCATTCGGAAATACTCTAGAAGAAACATGAGAAGATGCTGAAAAAACAAGCCAAACTTTCATCACAAGGGAGCACATGCTTCTGGTTGGCAGCACAAGTCTACAATTCTGGGTTGTTTCGAAAATGACAGGTTATTAGTGAACAAGAGAGTAGCCTGGCTCTGGCCTATTAGTCAGGATAACCAATTATAGGTAACGATACCTTAATATAGACTCCAGCTTTTATTGGCTTGAAACACCCACAGAATGTCTGGGCAGTCAACTTCTGAGCTCCCCAAAGAGCAGGGTCATTATTACAGACAGCAAAGTAGGGTTCCTGGGGCTATGTCTGCATCTCATTTTAGTATCTCAGTATTGATCAGCTTCAATTTCAGTTTTGTTAAACATTTCATGAAAGGATTTTTAAAGTAAAAACTTATATTTTTGTATGAAAATTGTATTTTTACTCAAAAACATACTTAGCACACAATACACTTTTGTTAATGCCGTAGATGACATAACATCTGTGCTGGTTTTCCCCCGCATTATGCAAGGGCAAAAAAAAATCTGCAGTGGCTGACATTTTTATGTGGTGTCTTGATAAATTGAGATGCCCTTTTAAAATTGAAGGTAAGAAAATGTGTTAAGACCTGTTCCATCTTTAATGCCAATTGAATTCTTAAAGTTTCATACTCACGTTTTCATCTACCAGCTCAATGCCAAGTCCATCCATTTTTTGGCTGCTGATCCCCAATAGAACACCATTTGTCCGGGTCGTGCGGAACTCAAATTCCACTAACAGTTCAATCCCAACTTTATACGCTCCAACTGGAACCAAGGAGGGAAGACAGCATAAATATACAACCCTGGTAATACCATTAGTGACATTTTGTTTGCGTTAACACAGAGAAACATACAGCACGGTTCATAAGTGATTAAAAAAATTTTTACAGGGATCTAAAATACACTGTTGGGCTGTCTGAAAAAAGGACATGGATCTCCTAAAAGACCTTTCCCTCAGCAAGTAATAAAAGGAGAGGCACCAGATTGATGTCAAAAAAATTGCTTATCACTCCAGAACCAAAAGCATTGTATCTTAATTTGTTTGGATAGGAAGGAAGAAACAGCCTGTCATACAAAAGAAGAGGCTGCAGGAAGAGCAACTTCTGTCTCTGTAGTACTGTAATAATTGAGATTCTTCAACACTTACATCTTTCTTCTGTGCAGCTCCTGAAAGCACATGGATCCTGATCTATACTGAAGCCATCAATCTTATAGGCACTTTAAGTTCTCCCATGCTCTTCTAGCTTCCCCTTGAAGCCTCAGTTAGACTTCTCTTGGCATTTGCATTCATAGTAGCCATGAAAAAAGAAGGTCCCTTGTGCTAATTTCCAGCTGCTTAAGCCCATATTAAGTATATCCTGTACCTTTGCTTCATGCCACTGCACTGGCTTTTGGCCGTCTACTACTAGTTCTTTTAAATGTAAGGTGTCATATTTTTCTGTGTATAAAATTATGCTTTTTCCTAAAATAGTTAGAGGAAAAATTGAGGGTTCTATACATGGTAGTAAGGAGGGGGGAAGGGATCAAAGCACTTTGTTCCCTGCTTTCCCCCTCCACTTTTTGCAAAGAAAATGGAGGGGGAAAGCACCCCCTCCACTTCCTTTGCAAAAAGTGGAGGGGAAAAAGCACTTTCAGGGGGAAAGCAGCTTTTTGCAAAGAAAGTGGAGAGAGAAATTACTTGCCTCACAAGAAAGTGGAGGGGGACAGAAAGAATCACTTTTCCCATCCACTCTCTTGCAGGGAAAGTTCTTTCCCCCTCCACTTTATTTGCAAAAAGTGGAGGGGGAAAGCAGCTTTTTGCAAAGAAAGTGGAGGGAGAAAGCACTTTCTTTGCAAGAAAGTGGAGGGGGAAACCAGGAATCAAAGCGCTTTGATCCCTGCCTTCCCCCTCCACTTTCTTACAAAGAAAGAAATTTTGGGTTAGAAAAGTGGAGGGCATTTTATACATGGGAGTGTCTTATACACAGAAAAATATGGTAACCTTAATTCCAGAAGGAAGTGGGAATATGTAGGATAATGTTTGGTGATACACTTGGGGAGACATGGGTGAAAAGGAAGATATGAAAAAACAAAGATGGCATGACATGTTTGTCAAATGCTGTGTGCCAGTGTGTGTCTGCACACGTGTATGGCTGAATGACAAGGCTTTCCAGAGTTGCTTCAGTTTTGGATCACTGAAGCAAAGTGCGGCTATGGGAATCATAGGCTAAGATGCTAAGTTGTTCTTCAGTTCCTAGAAATGGGTTTGTGATTTTTTTTTTACCTCCACTTGCAGCCCCAGTGAACTGTATCCTGCCACCTTTCTCAAGGACCCTTCAGAACTAGAAATTCAGGCTGCACAGAAACTGGCAGGGGAAGCAGGCGTGTGTGTGTAGAAGCTGTTCAATGTATGTGAATTCAGTTCTGCTTATTGAAAGACAGTGAGATGGGGGTGCCATAAAGTTGCTTCTGATTTATGGCAGTCCTATAAGTGCTCTCCAAAATGTCCTATTATTAATGGCCCTGCTCAGGTCCTGCAAAAGAAAGGCCATGGCTTTTTCTTTATAGAGTTAATTCTTCTCATATTCAGTCTTCCTCTCTTCCTACTGCCTTCAGCTTTTCCTAGCATTGTTGTGTTTTCTAGTGAGTCTTGGCTTCTCATGATATGCCCAAAGTATGAAAGCCTCAGTTTAGCCACTTCCATTTCTAGAGGCAAGTCATGCTTGATCTGATCTGATCTGTCTTTCATTCAACATCACATTTGGAATTAACTGATCCCCCCATCAGCCTTCTTCACCATCCTGCTTCCATACTGTGAACCATAACTGGGAATTCCATAGTATGCGTGTTCTTGGTCTTTATTTACTAGTGGCACATCCTTACACTTAGATATCTTTTCCTTCATAGCTGTCCTTCTGAATCTCATTCACCTCATTTTTTTGGGGGGGGTTGCAGTCTCCATTTCAATTGATGTTTAAATTGTAGTATAGTTGAAAGAGTGTTTTCTTTTCATGGTATGATATCATCTGCTTATCTTAAATTGCTCATGTTTCTTTAACCACTTTTCAGTCCTCTTTCATATGTATCTAATTGTTCATCTAAATCTAATGGAGCTTTCCATATATGTTTTGCACATAGAACCAACGGGAGATAATATACAAACCTGTCAGACATCTTTGCTTATGGGAAACAAGCCTATTTCTTCCCTATTCTGATCTTCCATATTTTGTTTTAACAATAAGTTATTCTTTAGAGTACAGGTTACACATCAAATCAAATGTTGAGGCACATCCACTTCTTTTAGAATGATTCATAGCCTTTCATGACCCACATAGTCACTGTTTTTCTTCTGAAATTCTTTGGTACATTCCAGTAGTCAATGTTTATTTGCAATATAATCTCTATCACTTCTTCCTTTTGTGAATGCAGCTAGAATTGCTGCCATTTCTAGCTCTGTACATAGTGAAGGGCTTAGTTGCAAAATCATGATAAATACTTTACAAGGGAAATTAATGCAAAGGTCCTATAATTTGGCATATTCTTTCATTGGGCTCGGAATAAATACTGAATATTTCCAGTCTGTGGGCCATTGTTGCCATATGCTTCTTAGACTTTTGATAAGAGCTTGTCTTTGTCATTCTGTTAGTGTTCCATCTAATCCTGATGAATTGTTTCTTAAAATTGGTTCTGAGAGCAGCTTTCACTTTGTTTTCTAATTTGCAGATTCACCAAAGGATTTTTAAAAAAGGAATTGTCATTGTAGCGGAATGCTAAAAGGTGGCGTCATTCCTGCCTGTCCATCACAGCAGCTAAGGGGGAGGAGCTGAGGATAGAGCAGGAGGGGCGGAGCTAGAGAGACAGTTAGAGGGAGTGGAGAGACTGTTGGACAGTTAGATAGTTAGAATGAGAGAGTGTTGGAAAGAGTCAGGGACCAGAAGATGTAGAGAGAATGTTAGGGTTTAGGAATAGATCTAAGGGGGTTAGGAGAGAAAACTGAAAAGTTTAAAACACATTGAACAAGCAGGAATAAATGTATAAACACTACCTGGGAAATGCTGATTTAAAGCATACAACAGTTCAGAATAAAAGTGATTGTCTACATGATCCAATATACTATAACACCTGAAACACTTCTAATGTGATTTTCCTTTTGATTTGTTCAATAATAAAAGAATACTTAATTAAAACCCCTGCTTCATGAGTTATATGACCCTTTGGGGTGGCAGCTCCTGTGTGGGACATGAATTGGTATTAGAATACCTGGTGGCAGCAAAAAGGCCATGTGTACCTTTGTGAGACCCAAGGAAATAGGGGCCACAAAGGGTTGATTGCCACCGTCATCCTTGTGTCTGTTCTGTATAGTTCTTCAGTATACAGTATTGTTTTCATCTTCTCTTTCTTTTATGCTGATAACATATCCCCCTCTTGACCTTTCAGCATCCCTAATTTTGGTTTAAATCTCTGTTTAACTTTTTGGATTTTACAGAAGATTATTTTTTGTTTTTCCTCTTTTCTTATTCTCTTTTCATTCTTGCAGTTTCGTTCCCTTTCTTTGAAGTACAGGAATTGTTTTTTGCATTCTTCCCTGATATATCTGGTTTCAATGTGTATTTTTTCCAGCTTGCAGTCAAGTGAGTTTAAGTAATGCAAATCTGTTCTTTATACAGACTTTAAATTAATCAAAATGTTTAAATTACATTTTGGCACAGTGCTTTTTAGCATTCTTCAGCTTTATACCCATTTTTCATATCAGCAAGTCAAAGTATGTATCACAGTCTGCTCCTGGTCTTCTTTTGGTTGAGAGAATACAGGTTCTCCATTTTTTGCTTGCATCCGGTTGTATAATCTGATTCCTATATTGGCTATCTGGTCATGTCCACATATGCAGTACTTTGTTTGGTTTATTGCATATACTTCCCTGAAGCAAGTATATGCAATAAACAAATTGTTGGAATCACAGAATTCTGTCACCTTCTTGTGACAGAGTTCTATCTCTTTTAGGCAAAATTCCCACCAATGATTTGTTTGAATTTACTTCCAACTTCTGTGTTACAGTCATCTATGATAATGGTGAGCACGTCTTGGTTTTGTGTGTGATCAATTTCCTTTTGAACACTTGCATAACAATTTTGAATTTCTTCATTTATGTCTGTAGTTGGAGAACAGACTTGAAGCATGATTAAGTTGATAGCCTTTCCATAAATCTCATCTCATTAATATTATTCAGTCAGGTTTTACACTGTAGTCCCTTATTGCTTGTATTATGTCTCCCTTCACTATTAGAACTGTTTCTTCTGAGTTTTCCATTTTGAGAGTAAAATACTTTGTAACTGTCTGATTGAAAACTTCTTAGTCTAGCCCTCTGTAGCTCAAACACATGTACTGCAATGTTTAAACCTCCCACTTCTTGTTTTACAGTTTATGTGTAATGCAGCATTGAAATGCCTTTTGCTTCTGTGCACAGCAGCAAACAGATGTCCTTATGGCTTTTAATCCAACTGCTTAGACATCACTATTCGTACTTACCCTTTCCTTTTTCCAAGTAGCTAAGTGCCGTCAAAATTTCAGTGGGTCACCACAAGTACAGTATCTGTGTCCTTTGTCTCTGCCCTTTATTTCTTACCCTTTATTCTTTGATATGATCATGTCCCACTCACCCCCTGCAACTGCCAGCCTTCAAGTACCCACCCATAATATCTAAGAACAAATATAAAAATTGTGCTTCATTTAAGAAAAATAAATTGTAGAACATTACCTGCTTTGGCAAACCCTGTTCCTGCAAAATAGGTTCCTTTTTGTGCATTGGCAAAGCACTTTCCAACATTATAGCTAGAAGTAGGGTTATTCAGATCAACAGGAGACTCGGTCATTATGAAATTTCGTATGCAGCCATCAATGCTATAGACAACCTGGCCAAAGAGGAATTTTAAAAAAGATACTAGTGTCAACATGCATAGCTATCCAAAATGCCTTCACCTTACAAGTAAAATGCTGAAATATCAGAAAATGTTGTGGGGTGGGGAGGTTTGACATTTCTATGAAATCTGTGATGTAAATGGGACAAATCTCTGTTTATTTTCTATACAATTAGGTTTCCGCAAAAGAAATTCTATGAAGTAGTTTGCGCAAAATCTGGCTCCATAGATCAAAGTCTTACCAAAGCTGATATAAAAATCTGTTGTATGATACAGCATAAAATTATCTCAGAAATACAAAAATGCTACATCCTTTCAAGACTTCAGTTCAGTAGAATCTGTCCCACTGCCATTGACGGCAACTTGTGCATTTACTTCTATTAGCATTTTGTAACGCTCTTGGACCCTGAGGGATGGAAGAAAGGATGGAATTTCCATTGTACAATTAGGAAAAATGTGTGTCTTAGAATAGTAAAGATGGAAGGGGCCTGTGAGACCATCAAGTCCAACCCCCTGCCTGATACAGGAATACAAATCAAAGAATATCTGCCAGGTGGTTGTTTAAGTTTCTCTTGAATGCCTCCAGTGTTGATGCACTCACCACCTCTCAAGGTAATTGGTTCCATTGTCCTACTGCTCTAACAGTTAGGAAGTATTTCATGATATTGAACTGAAATCTGGCTTCCTATAACTTGAGACCATTGTTGTGTGTTCTGCACTCTGGGATGATCGAGAACAGATCCTGCTCCTCCTCTGAATGACAGTCTTTCAAGTATTTGAAAAGTGTTATCATATCACCCATGTCGTCTTTTCTCAAGGCTAAACATGCCCAGTTCTTTCAATTTTTCCTTGTCAGGCTTAGTTTCCAGCCCCCTGAATCATCCTTGTGGCCCTCCTCTGAACTTGTTCCAATTTGTCAGCATCCTTCTTCAAGTGTGGTGTCCAGAATTGGACACAGTACTCAAGGTAAAGCCTGACCAGTGCTGAATAAAGCATCCTTGCTAGTCAGTTTGATTTGGTTGTGTTCTAGTATATGAGCTTGAAGGGAGATGCACATTTACTTGTTTTCTTCTACCAGATAAAGTTAACAGTACACCTTTTCTGGACATGGCGAAAGATAAACAGCTCTATCATGAGATGACTAGTTGTCCTGTTTTTCATAGCTCTTCAGAGATTCAAGGCTGGGTACTCTATATGACTGGCAAATATAGAAATAGGTTTGGATCTAGGACCTTACTTCTGCTGGTGGAAGGGCTTTGCACACAGAAGATGCTTTAACCCACTTTTGCAGGGATCCCACCTCCATGGCCCACTTCATTCAGCAAGGCCACACAACCCTCTATGTCCAATTTTCATGGCGTTGGAGAGGTTGCGGTAGGGATGAGAGAGGACATCCTCTTTCAACAGGCATCCAACCCACACACTACAAGAACTTCAAATGCTGTAGGGATGAGAGAGGACAACCCACACACTACAAGAACTTCAAATGCAATTAAAACACTTAATTGGGCAGATGGCACACCACACATTTGCTGTGGGTACATTTTGTACTTTGCAACTGATATTCCAGTACTGGAATACTAAATTATGTGTTATCTTATTTGAGTTGTCTTGACTTTGAGTGCACATGCAGGGTTCCCGTGCTCATCAGGACAGTTAAAAGGGACCAGTTTAGCCCTTGGAAACTGCTGTATTCCTCACTGAGATTTCTGCCATGCCTCTGTGCTTACAATTTATGTTGGCATAGAAGTTCCATTACTTTAAATAGGGTTCTGTTTTTTAAAAAGCAATATAAGTAGCAGGTGGGGGCAAAGAGCTTAACTCTCCTACCTCCCATCATAAGGCCTGAGCCCAGAGGAGGGCACTGAACTGGTAATTTGTGGTGATGGTGGCCTTCTGCATTCAAATAGTTAAGGTGACTTGCAGATTGTCTCTCACCCTCGGGGGGGGGGCGAAGTAAGGGACTGCACTGCACTTTACAAGATAATGCATGGTTGCTTCACTGTGACTACATACAATGCAACAGTAAATGCCTCTGTGAGTGGGTGGTGTGGCCAGGACACCACATTATTTACAAAGCCACTGTGACATCAACATCTTGAATTGGCCATGAAATAATCCTTTTCCCAGAAACTCTCTTGATTAATAACCCTACAAGTGTTTTTAATGCTTTGTAAGGGCTATTGACAATTTTAAAAGTACAATGAAACAGGAAAAGACACAGTTTTCAAAACAACACAACACACACCAGTGTTCTGATTTTATATCAGTCAGATTACCTCTGCTTGTTTGATAGAAAGCAGGTTTATTTTCCTGCCTGGGGCTAATGGTTTAAGAGAACAGAATCAATAAATTTAACTATGAACTTAGGGTTTAAATCAGAACTTATTGAGCCAGTGTTGAAGATTCACTTGGGGTGTACTTGGTGCAAGGAGAAAGCCTATTGCACTATCAAACCATTCATGACACATTGACTGTAGTTAATGCTGGCATATACAAATGGCATAACATTTAGAGGCAAAGTGCTTTTAGTTAAAAAATAATAATCACAGATGTTATCTGTTACATACAAAGTTGTGTGGCTCAGCATGTACTAACTGAAAGAAGTCTACTGTGCTGTCTTAATACTGTATGAGGCAACCTGCCTCCAAACATTTTGCCATTTACATAGATATACAAGAGGATTGTGGCCACTGTCTTAATGCCTCCAAACATTTTGCCATTTACATAGCTATACAAGAGGATTGTGGCCACTGTCTTAAAATAAAGGATTTTTCTCTTTTTAAAGAAAGGTTGCATCTGACAGCTTAGAAAGCTTTAAGAAATTACATCACAGATAAATTCAGAGCTCACTGAATCCCTGTTTCCCACAGTGGCTCTGACATATCACTGTTTAAAACACCAAAGCTGGGCTTGAAGGTGGGAGCCTTTCTACATTATATGTGTGTGCATCATACGGCGTCTAGTGGTACAGAAGTTCCATGTTATCACAGCTGAAACTAATGACCAAAATCTCTTGTGAATTTATCTAGTTCCATGTGGGATGATGGTTATCACTATTTCATGGGGAAAGGAATTCCACAAAAAGATAAAACTAGCACCTCTGGCCCAGGTAATCTTCCACAGCCCAAGCACCACGATTACTGTAATTCAGAAAGTCTTACCTTGCTAGGCCATATAATCTTCCACAGCCCAAGCACCACAATTAATTCAGAAAGTCTTACCTTGCTAGGCCACGGCTGAGTCTTAATCTCTGTCTGTTGCACAGCTCTGCTTTCCACACTTCTCCTTGTCTCATACTATCATCCCTAAGACTTTAAACCAGGAATGGGCCACCTCCAGAAATCCTGGAACAACATGTGCCCATTCCTGGACCCTGCACACCTGCATTCAGTCCTTTGACATCCATCACAGTTCCCCCCCCCTTATAAAAATGGGACTAGTTGTTTCTTACAAACTGAAAAAGCCCCCATCCCTTTAGTGGCCAAAAGTAAAGCAAGCTTCTTTCCTTACTGGACCAATTCTTTTAGTTGTATAGTTGATGGGCAATCCTCCCACGTACAGCATTCCCACAACATCCAAAATATCAGCTTTCTTGGGGCTAGTGGTCCTGTTTGTAGCTCCATCAACAGATAGGACACCTTCCTGCTTGCTTCGGAAGATTTGGATCTGAAAGAAGAAAAATATTCAGCTTAGCATTTCTTCCCAACATCTTTATTACTACTAATTTTGCAGTCCTATGCAGACTTGACCAAGGAGTACACCCCACAGAAGGTAGCATAACTTCTGAACTAAGCTCCACTGGCCCAAATCCTGTCACATAGGTCTGCCAATATCAGTGGGACTCATGTCACTGGCAGAGTGACATCAGCTAAGAAGTCTATGCTATGATTTGGGGTTGCTGCAATGAGTTGCATACAAGCCAAAACTGAAGCATGGGCTGTTTAGTTAGCTGCAATAAGCCACAAACTGTGGTGCACTTACCAGCAGCAAGGCTATGATGAGGCTATACTGGACCCTTCATATAATAAGATTTACTCCTTACTAAACATGCATTGCATTATTACACTGGACAGTCCTTGGGGGCAAGGACCTCTCTGCTTGCAGAACATTAGAAAATGTATCCTCTGTATGCCAAGGATGCTCATAAGAAGAAGAAGATGATGACAGGTGGAATATAAGTAACTACAGGGTTGTTTCATTAGTTAATATCTAGCAAATCTTTTTTTAAATAACCAGTGTGCATTGTATACATTCATTAAAAGGACAGCTTTCCAAATAGTACATGCTTCTAAAAGCACATCAATGCACTAGCAGACAGTAATCTAGTAGCAAATCAATAAATATAGCCTGTGGGACATATCTTCTAGTCATAAATTAAGATATGCTGACATTGTATTAATGCAGCCAACACTTTCACCCCCCTGCAAAAAAGCCTTATGTTCAGCAGCTTGCAGACGTGTTTCAGATTAACTGTTAAACTACCTAAATTATAACAAGGTTACTGTATATGAATCTGAATGCTTTCTTTCTATAGAACTTGACTCTTAATGTTAGCCCTCCTTCTCAACCTCCTGCTGCCATCTCCCTCAAAATCAGAAGATTTGCAAGCCAAATCTTCATATCTTCCGAATCTTCACTGAGGCAGATAGAAGGAAAGCATCCCTTTGCTGGATTTTAGAAATTCCACCTTGTGCTTGATTAGACTGTCATCAAGCCTGGACTGTATGCTTTCATTTTTTTAAGACAGTAAGCTTCTAGCTCTTACATAACTGGAGGTATAAGACGAAATGTGAAGTCAGTGCTTTGACCTACTGTTTTTGAGAAACAAGCCTTTCTTTGTGATCAGCCAACACATAAAGCTGGTTTCACAGATGAATGTTGCCATGTTAAGAACATGTGCTCTTCTTCAAACATCTGGAATCTATCTACAGAAATCTGTTTGCAGAGATCAGTGTATTATTTCTGTGCAAATGCCGTATACAACACAATTAACCTAGAGCAATGAATGCTAGCTGGGGAATTATGGGAGCTGCAGTGAAACAAAGGAACGTTGGAAAGCTCTGACATTATGCATCTTACTGCATTTCCTTCTTTGGCAGGGAGTTGACCTCACTGACCCTTTGGAGAAGCTGCTTCACTGAATACTTCCTCTGAGTTCTTCTTTGGAGGGCAAAGCATTTATTTTTAATTGTTGCTTATGATATCAGCGATGCTGTAAAAGCAGTTTTTTTTTAAATCCACTGTCAGAGCATAGCCGATTTGCTGTGCCAGTTAGCAAACAGAAAAAGCAATGGGATGCTTCTCTCTCTCTTCTTTCCCAAAGGCTAGAAAAAATTAAAGGGAAAACTTCCTATTTCTCAAAACCATTAAGCGACGTTACAGGAAACTGCTTATTCAGATACAGGTACTACAAAATTAAATGAGTCTTTCACCTCAGTAAACATAATGTGCATAAGAAATGTATTTATTTGAACAGAATTTTTTTCCCTTGGACTACAATTCCCAGAATCTTCCTTTACTATTCTGGTTGAGGGACTCTGGATTGTGTCTTTTTTCCCCTTTTAAAGCAACAACTGGAAATGTGTTCAAGCTCTGTGCTTAATTTCGTTCCCAATGTATCATAGCAGTGATGCAAGACTACAGCTATAGGGCTGGAGGTTTAGGAATCAGGTGACATACTGGATTGGCACTTGCTTTTATATGTGTAAAAAGTTAAATATGGCTAAGAAAGTTGACCTAGCATATTTTATAGTTATAAAATATTTAATTTGCATTTCTGAAATAAGCCTTGTCTTCCACCCCTTTTGGCATTTCTATGGCTTGCACTCCCTTTTCCCTTGCATTTTCCCCTCCAGATCAGGTGACAGAGTGCCTCTTGTGGGGGATTCCTATGGTATTCTCATAGGAGGTTTGGCCAGTAAGACTGATAGCAAAAAGTAACCACTATCTCATGAGAATATTATCAAAGCCTCAGGTGTGTGCGGATTTATGTCCACCAGCAATGTACATGCTTGGTTTAGGTGGTTCTCCTCTCCCCCCATTTTATCCTGAGAATGGCCCTGTAAGATAAATTTGGTGAGAAGTACTGACTGACCCAAGAATAAAGTTTGTGCCCGAGAAGGGATCTGAACTTGCTCCAAGTCTGTCGCTCTATTGCGCTATCTTGTCTTTCACAGAACAGTGGTCACTGGATGAATGATCCAGTGGTAGAAAAATAATGCAACAGGTCACCAATTTGCATAATATGAAAAAGAGGTTAGTTAACTGTAAACTGTCTGTGGTATGCAAATTAGTCTAATGTGCTTACTATGCAAATTAGGCTGCTCAGATTTGGAGACCCGCAATATGGGCATGATTTGATTTCTACAATATAATTTTATCCACACAAAGATAGGAATAGGAGGGATGACTTTGAATTTTTATGTTTCCTCTTCTCGTAATACATTGATCTAGGAAAACAAATATGGCTTATCTAATAATTTTCATGGAGAAAGGCAAGTATCTGTAGAACACCTTGTGTGCTCTGCATGTCCCATTTTAACATCCCAACCCCCTTTCCTCTTTTACAGGAGTGGAAACAATTTATAAGTGCTTGAGTTTAACAGCTGCCTCTTCTTGCAATTTTTTGTCAAACAAGCACAAAGTAGCAGAAGTATGAAAAAGGCTGAGCATGCTTTTCAGTTTTCTCAAACCTGTGGGCCACATGAATTTGGGCACCACTTCTTTATTTTCACCTTATGTTTGTACGGTAGTGTCAATATCTGTACCGTGAGCCAATAGTGATTCCCACACATCACATGAAGACCCATTATCTCAAGTACATGGAAGAACTTTGTTGAATTCTTCCCAGAAAAAGGGAACATAATTTGCTGATTCAGGCCAAGGGCCCATTTTTCTTCAACAGCACCCTGCTGAAAATCTCACTATGGAAACCTCACCGGAACGACTTCTGATGGAAACCAGTACTTTAAATTCAGATAGCACTACTGTCTGAATAAAATTTACAAGCGTGCCTGTAGCTCTGTTATCTTGCTATGTTCAAAATCCATCACAGTTATTTTTTATTCTGCTTTATTTTGCCCATGAACTTATTCTCTAGCTTATTATTATAATCCATCATTATTCCATACCTTGTGCCACTGCCCATCATTGATTTTGTTGGGAATCATAGTGCTTGTATTTCCATGTCCCAGGTCATAACTGAAGTACGGACAGCCATTCTTTATCTGGACAGTGGCAAAATCAGCATGATTGATCCGGGCCATATAGAAAGCCAACCCATTTTCAGCTTTTGTTCTGATTTCAAATTCGATGGTGAGGCTATGTATTTGAGAGGGGGAAAGAAAAGAAAAAGAATAGAACGTCAGAAGATATTAATCTGTTTTATCTTCTAGTCTTTCTCACAAAGCTAGTATTGCCTAAGGCAAACTTATTTATAAGACAAATAAAATCTATAAATCCCATTTCTGAACTTGCCAAGGTATATGGAGGAAATGTTTGTACATTTACTGCATGGACTTGATTTACAGCTCAAACCAGACATTGTACATTTGTAGAAAAATAAGGAATCGGAACTTGCCCCTCAGTCCACAGTAGGCCAACAGTAAATAACAAATAACTGGGATTTTAACTTATTTAAATAATTAACTGTCACTTTTGAACATGCTCATATGAAGCCATCCAGGAAACTTCCATGGTGAGTGGCTCAGTTAATAAGTCACTTGCTGCCAAACACAATCCACTGATAAGGAAAAACCTATGGAAAGTTATTGAGCAGAAATACATCCCCAAAAGTATCTATGAAGGACCCAGGTCTGAAAAGCAAAAAATTCAGGAGCCAGAAGTGGTGATAAGAGCTTAGGGATCTAGCATTCTAGCCATGATCAAAAGAGATCTTGCAAGATTCAGTCGCCAAAAGCAAGTTTTCCAATTTCTGGGTTGAAGAGAAGTTCAGCTAGTAAGCACAAGTCAGTAAGGGCATTGTTCAGTCTGTGTAGAAAGCACAGGAGTCTGTAAGGGAGGGATCCTGATTCCAAAGAAAATATTTCAATCGTTGCTGACGGGCTTTAAGAGCAGCTTTGGTGAATCCTTTGCAGTGCTTACAAAGATGGGGCTGATGGTTTTCTCCCAGGCAAAAAACACAAGGACTGTGGCCGTCAGAAAAGGGTAGCTTTTGGGAACAGGCAGTACAGCGGGTGAATGGCCCTGAACAGGACATAAGCTGGCAATTGTGGGGAGGAAGTCCAATAATTAGGTGCTAAACGGATTAGGAAGATGGCATGTGCCGCCACAGCGGGCGGTCTATAAGGCGGGAAAAAACAATCAAGTACTTGTGGAGGTTTAGGCAGTAGAGAAGGTGCTCAGTCCAATGTCAGGGCAACAGAAGGGTGGAAAATCGAAGAACTAGCCAAGTCAACATCCGAAAAAGCCAAAATAGCAAAGCGAAAAAGAGAGCTCTAGCCGAGAGGTTCCAACTCCGTGGGCGAAAAAAATGGAACTGAGAGCTGAGGCAGGTGGAGCATGCGCTATATAGGGCAACCTACACTTTGTTACTTTTCCCCAGAGCTCTAGAAGATTCCGAGAGGACCAGCGCAGGCACTGTTTTACCCACTTGTGTGCATTCACAGAGGCCACGCTGTGGAACTTATTGGTTTTGTGAAGCATAAACAATATAACTGATGCACAAAATCATTCTGGCTGGCTGTTGCATGCTTGGGCATAACAAGGTAATGCACTGCTCGGCCAAAAAATTACAATTTCCCTTAAAAATGCAGTATTTCACAAGAGGATTCTATTCAGAGAAAAGCACAACTGGATCTAAACTAATAGTTTTAGAAGCAATATCCATGTTAGTCTGTCCTAGCGTATTGAGCAAAAACATACTCCAGCAAGTTTTTCTATTCATGTAAATATGATATAAGATTCATACTTCAAAATGTATTCTTTATAATCTCTCACACACGTACCCAGGAGTAAATCTTTTTGAGTTTAATGAGAACTTTTATCATGTAATTCTTTTAACACCTGCAGTTTGCAATATAAGTAATGTGAGGAAATTAAACAGCAGTATACAAGTGATCTTATTTGTCTATCAATCTTGCCAAATACAGGTCAATTGATCATATCGTCTTGCTGTTTTTGCTTTGTTTCTCTTTGCCAAACTTTGAGTGGAATAAGACACATATTAAACAGATATAATAAGTTTGGAAATGAGATTCAGGAATTGTTTCTAGACACAGAGTTTAACAGTTAAGCTGAATTCTAGAAGGAACAAGGAAACTTCATTTTAGTCAATGTGAAAAGAAAATGAAGCTGGAAGCCATCTTGATCAGAAACTTGAAATGTGGCTGCTTTGCTTGAAAACACACCTACTATGTAACTAAAATAAATTTTGTTACCACTTCGCCTCAGAATTGAACGTACTTATTCTTAACTTTGGTATCATCAAAAGCAGATGCAATATGGCTGTTCCTTGAGAGGCCAAATTGCTTGCCCCCGTCCAAGGTAATTGGTTCCACGTCAGCAGCACATTGCTCCTGTAAAACAAATGCCACCATTATTTCTTCTTCATTACACATGAATAATTCAGACAAATTGTGCCTTTCTTCTACTCTCTAAATAGAGTTCCTCATATTTGCCTGAAGAATTCCAGCATCTTCTCTGTACATACAGTGGTGCCTCGCATAACGAGTGCACCGTTTAACGATGAATCTGCATAGCGATGCGGATTTTGCGATCGCTAATGTGATCGCATACCGATGTTTCCAATGAATAAAAATCGCTTTGCGACGATTGGTAAGCGTTTCACTGACCGATGTTCGCATAGCGATTTTTAAAAAACAGCTGATCGGCGGTTCCAAAATGGCCGCCAGTTGCCCAAAATGGCCACGCGCAGCATTTTCGCACCCTGCCCTTGCTTACCGAGGGCGCGAAAATGGTGGCGCTATGGAGAAACTTCACTGAACTGTGAGTTTGGGCCCCATTGGAACGCATTAATCCAAGTTTAATGCGTTCCAATGGGTTTTTACTATTCCAGTGGGTTTTTACTTTCTGTATAGCGATGTTTCCCCATAGCGACGGTTAATCCACAACGGATTAACCTCGCTATGCGGGGCACCACTGTATACAGAATGTGTTCCACCCCTACATGTGAAACATATCCTACATATTTTTTTTCCTTTCTCAAATATTTCTAATGCGAATGTGTTCCACCCTTACACGTGAAACATATCCTACATTACATATTTTTTTCCTTTCTCAAATATTTCTAATGCTTGTTGTTTTGCTCCCAGAAAACCACAAGGAACCAGTGAGTGGTACTGTATGTATGTTACATATGCAGCAAGCTCACATCTACACTGCCACTTCAGTGCAGCTAAAATAGCATTCTAGATCAGACAAGCGATGCAAACTGGTTTGTTTATACCTCATTTATGTCCCCATCCCTGCAAGAATATGTTTTTATGCAGAGGACTGTGAAGAGAAAGAGATGATCTATCAGCTTCACAGTTTCAAAGTCTCTCACCCTTCCAAAGATACATTCAGAGCTGGGAAACTGCACAGGAGAAAATGCAGCTTATCATTCAAAGCAGCTCTGTTTCTGATTGGTCAAGCTGTCCTCACTTTCTTCCCTTACACCTACAACAGAAGATGAGTGTTACCACTGCTGCACAGTTGTAAATGCAACCTGCACTGCACTCCCTCCCCAAGTGTCTTGTGAGATTCAACGGAGCTTGGTGAAACACTAGTAGTGTGCCCTGTGTCTGCACTGGTGTCAGGTGTATATGTAAACAGTTGAGGCCAGGGCTTGGGCTGCCTCTCGCACAGCTATCAAAGCCGAAAGGAAATTGGTAGCTTTTTTCTTGTTTCATCTCAGCTGAGATTTCTAACAACAGTAATCCTGTGTGTGTAAAGATGTGCAAAATATAATTCTGTCATGCATGATGCAATATAGTCCAATGGAGCACAACTTCCTAGGATACTAGCTAATGGTTTTCTTGAAATCTTGATTATCTCAAATGTCATCTAAAATATAAATTCACTAATTAATTGTAATGTATATTTGGATAGGTGCAAAAATTATGACTATACAATAGTGACAGGAATGTCTGTGGCCTTAACATAGATCTATTGTCAAATTAATTATAAAGAATTTTTTAAAGGCTGTGAAAGAGAATAAGAGGGGGAAGAGTTTCCTGACAGCTCTGTTCAGTTACTTAATTTTTACTCAAATCCAGTTAAACTTTTTTTTAAAATACTGTGGTTATCTTTGAAACGATAGTTTCAAGACCAAATAACTGCCAGGTGACAAAGACAACTGTGAATGTGAATGATACATATTTTCCATCTGTAATAGGCATATTATGAAAAAAGAATAATCACAAAAATCTGAGAATAATATCTTTCTAGGGCAAAATAGATATTGAGGTTCCAAATTATATATTTTAAATCTTCCTTTAAAAAAAGAAAATACAGGACACAAAACATTATAGCACTTCCAGACATAGTGCTTTATGGTCTGAGGCATGGGTCACCTAAGAGCCAGCACACATTCAGATTACTCATCCAGATGTTCCAGTAAGACATGTATGGACTGCCATCATTCTCTCAAGCAGAAGCACTCAGCCTAAGCTCCCATTATGTGTAGATTCTTCCCTGTTTCATATCCTGGTTCAAAGCATGAAAACGTCTGGAAGTGCCCAGTAACAAATGTGTGAGAGCAGTCCTCCAGCCAGTCGCCACTGACTAAGGAATAATGTTTTCTTCCACTCTTTCGACTTATATATTTTCCTGTCAGTGACAAGATATATAGATAATAAACAACCCATCCAACAACAGCTTTTATTTGATTTTAATGGGCATGTTCTCAGAAAAAAAGATAATACTTAATGAAACTGAAGTAATATTAAATATTACAATAGACAAGATCTCCATGAATCAAAAACATAAAAGTGTCCATGTCTATTCAGAAATGCTAAAGAAATATTTGGCAATATAACTTTTTAAAAAGCATTAATCTTGATAGGATTCATGCTGCAGAACAGCTTGGGAATGGAATCTTTAAATGAATTCTTTTAGCTGAAATCTTCTTGATGTGACATTTCCTGTGTGACAGGAAATTGATGCCTTCAGCAGAGCTCTTTTGTGCAAATGGGAGGCTGGCTGTCAGACTGTCTCACACTTTTGTCTGCAGACAAAGTTGTACTATCAACTTGGGAGGGATGCTTAGTAACAAAGGGAGACAATAACAACACAGAATCAGCACGGCAGTTCATCTAGCTGTGTTAAATAAAACTGGGGCGGGAAGAATGGGGAAAGCACTAGGAGATACCATCACAGCGTCAAAGTCAGCTGAGATGCTGGCACTCTTCACTTCAGCAGCAAGCAAATCCTGAGAAGCAGTAAAGAACAGGAGGCAGAAGTGGCAGTCACCGACGTTGTCTCACTAAACATGTTACAGTATTTGTAGCAGGAAGTAATTCATGGTGAGACTCCTTAACATCCAGCATACCCAAACCCATTTCTTCAGCCTATTCTTTTAAAAATCACCCTTGTTTTTTTTTAAAAAAAACAAAGGCCAGAACCTGGTCAAAGGTCAAATGGGGAACTGCTTGTATGCCAGCAGCAAAGTAAATGGGACAAAGTAGTAGCAAATGAACCCACAAGGAGAGTCAGCTCCTATAACTGAAAGCACTTAGTATTAAAGTATGACAAAAGCATTTCTCAAGGATTAAACTGGAATTGCCAGGATTGTAAGAAGCATATTGAAAAGTTAGCAGAAGAAATATTTAAGATATGGCTCACTAAACGGCTCTGAAGTGCTAAAATAATAAGATAAGAATTATTCTGTCTAATATAAAGAGATGCAGATTTTCCCCCAAATGTTAAGTTCACCAAACAAACACTAGATTTTATACACTGATTTTTAAAAAGTTGCTGATATGTGCCATCAAGTTGCCTCTGACTCATGGTGACCCTATCAATGAGTACAAAATATCCTGTCCTCACCTGCCCTGCTGAGCTCTTACAGGATCAAGCCAGTGTTACTTGTATTTTATTGGTAAGGAAAGTAGCACATTGCTCATAACTTTAGCAATAGCATGTTAGTTACCAATATGCTACCTTTTCACTATTTTGTTCCTATAAAAATATACCAAATAAATTGCTAATCGCAACTAAGACTAAACACACTGAATCAATTGCTGAATGCCATGTCAAGACTTACGTACGTACGTCCCATGGGTGACTGAACCAGCCCTCTATATTTCAGTGGTTTAGAAGTAATAAATAAACATTATTCGTTGCACTACAAATGTAACAAATGTACATTAATTTGCCATAATTAAATTGTTGTGCCCTTCTTCATCTGAGTGCTGGAAAACGTTTACATAGTAATAAACGTCAGAGGACAAAATGGTGTTAGTCGGCTGCAGTAAAGACAACAAAGTGTCTGTTGTACCCTAAGGTATTTAATATATGTTGAAAAAATTGTGTGTTTTGTTACTCCAACAGTGACTCAAGCAGTGCACTGACACAGCGTTGAAGAGTGCCAGGCTCTCCGAGTTGAGGGCCACTGGAAATCTCACTGATTTATTCAGGGCCTTCACTTTTTCTGACATAAATTCTCTTTCCAAAATCTTTAATATATTTCTGTTTTTCAGTCTATCCTAAGCCATTGTGATTTTTATTCTATTAAACAATTCAGAAGACATGAGGAAAATACCAATAGTGACTGAGCACATGATGCTGCCTTATACCAATCAGTACTATTCATTGCTTAATTGAACCAAATACTGTCTCTTCCAGAGCTGTGGAAACTTAGGTTCTCTAGATGGTTTGGATTACAACTCCTATCAGTTCACAGCATAGCCTATAGTGATGGTTTGTGAGTGTTGCAGCCCCAAACGTCTGAATGACCAAAGGATGGTCTACTCTAAATGACAATAGGATGTGTAATGTATGTACTAAAAATCTTCCACATGTTAAGACAGAATAGTGCCAATAAACAGGGGACAGGAAAGTTGTAGCCCATGGGCCAAGCATAACTCCTGTATGTTATCTCAGATGCTCCTCTAACCTCTTATCTCTAAAAAAAATTTTTTTCTCCAAAGAAATGCCAAACATTGCCTCTAGAAGCCTGGGATGAGGGCCAGGAAGTGATTTGCCATTTAAAAGCTATCTCAGAGCCCCTGGGCCTGTTTCATACCTGAAGTACAAGCTAACTGAAAGACAAAATCTCAGGATGTGGGAAAATGGCCTTTATTCAATACACACAACCCTAAAGCATTTTGGTCAATTAATTAGTTGATGGCCTTCCTCAAAGGTGAAACTTGAAAGAAGTCTGTGAAGGAATCTTTGTAGGCACTGTTAACTTACTGCTCCTAGGGAAGCCTCCCAAATAATTGCCTAAGCCAGAAGCGTATCAAGTCAGTTCCATTTTTGTTTTTTTTAAAAGATGTATGTTCGGGGGAGACCTTCTCTAAGTCAAAACAGGCCTGTGTATGTGTGGAAATGTTATACTGTAAATGACAAATCACACATACACCAAGCCTGGGTGGGATTTAACATTGTCTCTGTGATTTTTTTTTATTTTACAGAGTTCTAGGTGGTTGAGGAGGGTGGGGACTCACCTAAACTGAGGGACCACAGGTTCTCAGAAACTGCCCCCCTCAATAAAATCTTAAATGATGCATTTTTTTTAAAAAAGGGGGGGTGTTAATTTTTTGACACCTCTTTCTAAGGGGCACCACAGATAGTGCTTAATTTTACTGGGGTAATATATTTATTATAAAATACACATTAGAGACCAATCATCTTATGACTTGCCAATGAGAAATATTTTGTTTGCTTTTTTTGTTTTGTTTTTACTATGAACTGAATATACCTCCTATTATTTACTTTTAAAAACTGACAAATGTATTCTGTCTACTGGCAATTATCTATTCAGACCATGGCTGCTAAGGAAGCTAAAAAAAAAAAAGAAAAAAAGAAAAAGTTATTTTAAATCTTGTTTCAAAGCAGGAAATTGATATTCTGGCTTAAATCTCGGTATGATCTTGGAGCAGAGCTCCAGGGTTTGGTTGAAAATCTTCTAGCTCAACTTGTTTGCATTACCAGCACAATTTTACTGAAAATTACTGAAAGAATTAGAAATTGAAATAAGGCATTAGCTTCAACATGTTACCATTATGCCATCTTGTGGGATTTTTTAAAAGTGCTGATTAATATCATATAAACTTACAGGAATCAATAGAAATGTAAATCATTGCTCCCTTGTGTGAGAAAGAGAACCCTGCAGTACATTTTCTGGAACTCTTAACAATGCTTCTTGCTCATGCAATAAAAACTATGCAAATTGTGTTAATTGTATGACTTGCAGAAATTGCACAAACTTATGTAGCTGTTGCTTTGTTGCATGGACTTTTAGAAGAATCCTTGGATCAGTTGTTTATTTTTGAGTAACCAGGTAGTCCTCTGCTCTGTGTGCATGTGCATTTCTGCAGATACAGTTTGAGCAAATTGTGGAAACTTCAATGATTATAAACAATGTTCCATGCTTTCTTCTGGTGTTAAAGGCCAGAAATCTTCTGGGGGATGGGTTAATAAATCAAACTGTCTTGAGACAGCCTACCCAGATGGCAATGGAAAGCATATACAGACAAGTGTAAAGTATGTCATGAGAATTTTAATAGGCCTAAATAACATTCCTCTATCATTATGGGATCTTGGCTAGAAAATTGTCATTTTATATTTCATGATTCTTTAGGCAGTCCATTTCAAGGTCCACAGCTTCCAATAGTTACCTAGAACACTGGTTCTTAACCTTGGGTTACTCAGGAGTTTTGGACTGCAACTCCCAGAAGCCTTCACCACCAGCTGTCCTGACTGGGGTTTCTGGGAGTTGCAGTTCAAAAGCATCCGAGTAACAAAGGTTAAGAACCACTGACCTAGAAGGCTGTAGAATTAGTGATCCAAAGGTATGTTAAAGAGTTGGGTCTTCTAGAGCAGTGGTCCCCAACCTTGGGCCTCCAGATGTTCTTGAACTACAACTCCAAGAAGCCTTCACCACCACCTCTGCTGGCCAAGATTTCTGGGAGTTGAAGTCCAAGAACATCTGGAGGCCCAAGGTTGGGGACCACTGTTCTAGAGGCAAAAAAAAAATGCTCTGCTTCCAAGTGGGTACTTGATATTTGAAAATTCTCTCCTCCCATTACAGTCCTAGCTTCTCCTATTCTAGATGATCTATGGACTCTCCAGAGATGCATTTCATGGGTCCATGTGTGGCAGGGAACTGGACGGGAAAGATTTGCCCTTCCAAAATCTAGTAGCCTCCTGCTTGTGCAAGCTTTGGATCCAATGCATTATATTTCCTATGGTAATTGTAGTGGACAAGAAGAGATATTGGCTTGATTTTCTACAATGGCTTCTAAAAGAGTAAATGATGAAAGCAGCAAACAGGTGTCAAGCTTTTGTCACTGAAGACAGAGAGCAATGCTTGAAATGTTGACATCTTGACCTATAATCACTTTTATCTTTTGAAAGAGAAGAGACTGAGTAATGGAATTTCAACCTTGCTCCCCTTTAGATGACAGGTTCATACATAAGCCATCTCAGTACAAACTGAAAAATCACTACACTTTAATAGGTGGCACAGATAAATATAAGCCCATAGACAACATCCATTCTTTATTACACTGCAGTTCATTTCACAGACATAACTTGCTGAAGTTTTTATCCTGATGGCAGGCAGCTTGACCAGTAAAGTCAAACAGATTACTTTAATGGTGGGTGATTCCTAATATGGTTTTAATGGAAAAGGAATAAGATATATTATTGATGTATTTGTTTTTAGTGTACACATTTGGGAGGGGTATAAATACATTTTTTTAGAGAGGTAAACTTTCTCTGATTGGCACTTTTCAAATTAACAAATTTCATTCATTGTGAGCTTTTCTGGAATGCAGTCTACCTTTCAGCAGTCACAGTATCTGTAGAAGTGGACCAAAATCCCCAAAAACTCATACTGAGAGAAATTTGTTTGTCTCAGCAGTACTGCAGTACTTGTGTTTTTGATACTGCTGATATATGGATTTTTTTAAAAAATTGAAGGTATAGAAAGCTTCATAGTTACTCCACTATATCCTTGTTTACTTGTATATTTTATTTCCTTTTTTTGAATATGGCAAACAGGAAGAAGCAGAAACAAGATGAACATCCAGTAAATCCAGTGAATGGAACAGAATGGGATACGGTCAGCACTCTTGTTGAAGCTCAGGTCACCCTATGGAATAGGGAGATGACCTGGGCGGTTGACACGATTGCGCCTAAGCGCTCTCTCCCTGCACACAGAGCCCAGACAGCTCCTTGGTATACTTCTGAACTGTGGGCGATGAAACGAGAGGGGAGACGGCTGGAGCGCAGGTGGAGGAAATCCCGCTGGGAGTGTAACCAAACATGACTAAGAGGCCATTATTGGGTCTATTTCATGGCAATATGGCTGGCGAAACGGCCATATTTCTCCAGCCCTTTTGCTTCCTCAGAATGTTGTCCAGTGGAATTGTTTTGGGTAGTCCAGGATCTTCTTCAACTGGGAATTCCAGTAGAGGTCCCGGACTGCTCATCAGCTCACTGTGATGAGTTTGCCATTCATTTTGAGGGAAAAATTGCTCAGCTTTGCAGTGGGTTGGACTCCACCGTTACTGCAGAATCAGAGGATGTGTCCAGTGTGCCACGCTTAGATCAAGTATTAATGGATGAGTTTCAATTGTTGAGACCTGAGGATGTGGACAGGGTGCCTGGATCTGTCCATTCTACCACTACAGTGGTGCCTCGTATAACGAGTGCACCGTTGAACGATGAATCTGCATTTCTCCATCGCTAATGCGAGGGCATGCTCGCATTACGATGGGGGAACAGCTGTTCAGCAGTTCCAAAATGGCCGCCGGAACACAAAAAATGAGAGCTGGTACACCCAAGATGGCTGCCGGAACAAAGGAAAACATCGGAGAACGGTGAGTTTTGGGCCCATTTGGAACGCATTAAACTTTGTTTAATGAGTTCCAATGGGTTTTTTGGATCCGTTTTACGATGTTTTCCCATAGCAAAGGTTAATCCGGAACGTATTAATCTCGCTATGCGGGGCACCACTGTACTCTGCTCGACCCTTGCCAATCTTGGCTAATTGGAAGATCTGCCAGGGGTTCGCACCTGGGTCCAGGAGGCTGTGAACACCTCTTTGAGAGAGGGAGTGGTCCCTACCACCTTGAAAGAGGCGGTAATTCGGCCACTCCTAAAAAAGCCTAACCTGGACCCAAGGCTGGTGGTTAACTACCGACCAGTGGTGAACCACCCTTATTTGGTCAGTTGGAGCGGGTTGTGGACAGGCAACTCGAAGTGCTGCTAGATGAAATGGATTTTCTGGATCTATTTCAATCAGGTTTGGGTCCTGGATACCTGAAGGACCGTCTCCTTCCATATGAACCTACCTGGCAGTTAAGATCTAGCCAGGGTTACCTTCTGAACGAGCCATCCCTCAAGGAGGTGACAGGGATGGTTTGTAGACAAAGGGTGTTGTTGGCAGCTGCCCCCAGACTATGGAATGCCATCCCAATTGAGATTCGCCTGGCGCTGATGCTGATGACATTTTGGCGCTAGGTCAAAACCTTCCTGTTCCAGAAGGCTTTTAATTGAAATAACATCAACTGTGGGTCCTGATGGCAATTTTTAGAATATATATTTAAATTGTATTTTAATTGCTTTATCTTTTTATTGTATTTTAATTGTTGTAAGCCACCCAGAATTAAGTTAAATAAATAATAAAGTAAATAAATAAATAAATAATAATTATCCAAATGCAAGACAAAAGCTCCATGTGCTTATGCTCTTTGCAAAGTGTTACATGAAAATTCCAAAGAAATGTTAATAGAACATCACCATACAACTTTACAGTTTCTAGTCCCATGTGAGAACACATAATTAAAAACACACATGTATGCTGCAGAAAAAAAGCACACTTACAGGTGAAGGAGGGAAGGGTGGTGATGGAGTGGAAGGTTCACTTGCTTTCTTCTCTTCCATGTCAGGCTCAGGAGTGGAAACTTCATCCTCCCCCTCCTTTTCATGTGGTGCTGCTAAATCAGGACATTGGCCAATGTCTGCATTTTCAAAGGATACTGGCCGGGCAAAATCCATTGGACTAAAGTGGCAGATCAAAACCATTGGTGTCAATTAATGACAGATCTTCAACTCACCTTTTTTATTCAATATATCTATGATTTATTTTAAAATGTGTAACCTTTTATAGGTAATACCTGTTTGTATCACAAACTTATTGTACAGACTTACATATTGATTATCTAAAGAACATTTTAGATAGAATTGTGGTGGGATGTTGGCATCCTCTTGACCAGGATAACAAGCAATGAGGTTATACCAGGCATATATCAGTAGCAGGTTTGTATCATATGATGATATCACATGTCACAAATATTCAAGCCCCATTAAGGAATTATGTTAACTACAATGAACCCATAAGAAAGAGAGTGTTAGCATTCCCTGTCATCACAGTCCTTACAGAGAGAGTAATCATCTGAAGACATAAAGCTCAAAATATCAGTTCCATTTGTATGGAGAAACTCCAGGCATAGAGGACTCTAACAGTCTTATTCAGATCATACTCTGAAGATCTGGAGATCTGTCTTTGTAACAGTGAAAGAGCTGGCCCCTTCCTCGCATGTTTCCATTAGCTTAAAACATAATGCTTGAATAGGGCCTAAGATAAGGATGGAAGTGGGATAACACCATTTGATTTCTGGAAGCTAGGTTAGTATATACTTACACAGCATTGACAACAAGGTTCCATATGCAGCCATCAAAGGCAGGTATGTTTCTGATTGGGGCAGTGTGAAATTCAGGTGGTGTCCCTCCCACAAACAACTTCTTAACGGATATTGGCTGATCTGAGGGGAGTCTCTGAGACTGTCTTCTGTCCTCATCTACTTGTATGGCAAACATCCTGCAAAATTACCAAAAGCCAGTTGATACATGAATAAACCAAACTCTTCTCCAGCGGAAGGAGAAGTGGATTGTCTCCTTCCTGATCTCCCTTCAGCGTCAAACAGCTGAGTGGCAGAGGCTTAACTTTATCCAAAGAGCTACACCTCTGCTGCTGTAGCTGTTCCATAGTGAGACAGGGAGCCCCAAACTTTTTAATTAAAAAAAAATCTACATTGAGAACAGCATTCTGCAGAATCACATTTCTCATTAGCAAGCTTTTCTGGAATGCCTGAGATTTCTTTGTCAGGGCTTTAAACAACAACTACTATAGGAATAACAACATAGAGAAGGTTTTCAGTGATACTAATATCTGGATAAGCTAGGAAAAAAAGCAGGATACAAACTGCCAACATTAATCTTAATAGACAGAAATCACGTCTGTTTTAAATATAATGTGCACAAGGTCCAATCAGGTAAAACAGCAGGGAGACTCATTGTGTTTGGCGTTTTATTTCCACCAGACTTTGTACTAGCTTTTTTTTTTTTTCTCAGAGACAAACAAGCCTCTTGGGTATGGTGACTGTTGGAATTTGTTTTCCAAAGGGGAGAGAGAGAGAAGGAAAAGGACAGAGAGGGAAGCGGGAAAAGGAGGGAGGACTATTTTCAAAACTGAAACCATGTTAGTGTTCTAGTGAGGTGATTCAAGCAGTCTCTCATCTTTGAGAAACTGGATGTGAAAATGAAAGTTTATCTCTCAAAGACCAGTCAAAAAACATTGCAACATAATTTGGGAGCTGAGGGAAACCTCTTGCTGTGACAATCCCACACTATCAGCAGTTAAGAAATCTAGTGATGGCTTTCAGCAGTATGTGGACTGTGAACTTCTAGAGGTACAAGCTGGATTTTGAAGGGGCAGAGGAACTAGAGACCAAATTGCTAACATGCACTGGGTTATGGAAAAAGCCAGAGAGTTCCAGAAAAACATCTATTTCTGCTTCATTGATTACCCAAAAGCCTTTGACTGTGTTGACCACAACAAACTATGGCAAGTTCTTAAAGAAATGGGAGTGCCTCACCACCTTATCTGTCTCCTGAGAAACCTATATCTGGGACAGGAAGCAGCAGTTAGAACTGGATATGGAACAACTGATTGGTTCAAAATTGGGAAAGGAATACAAAAAGGCTGTATATTGTCCCCCTGCTTATTTATATGCAGAATACATCATGTGAAAGGCTGGACTGGAGGAATCCCTAGCCAGAATTAAGATTGCCGGAAGAAATAACAACCTCAAATATGCAGATGATACCACTCTGATGGCAGAAAGTGAGGAGGACTTAAAGAACCTTGTAATTAGGGTGAAAGAAGAGAGCGCCAAAAATGGCAAGTTCAACATAAAAAAACCCTAAGATCATGGCCACTGGTCCCATCACCTCCTGGCAAATAGAAGGGGAAGATATGGAGGCAGTGACAGATTTTACTTTGTTGGGCTCCATGATCACTGCAGATGGTGAGAGCAGCCCCCGAAATTAAAAGACGCCTGCTTCTTGGGAGGAAAGTTATGACAAACCTAGACAGCATCTTAAAAGGCAGAGACATAATCTTGCTGACAAAGGTCCGCATAGTCAAAGCTATGGTTTTTCCAGTAGCAATGTATGGAAGTGAGAGCTTGGACCATAAAGAAGGCTGACCGCCGAAGAATTGATGCTTTTGAATTGTGGTGCTGGAGGAGACTCTTGAGAGTCCCCTGGACTGCAAAGAGAACAAACCTTTCCTTTTTATAGAAACCAACCCTGAGTGCTCCCTGGAAGGACAGATCCTGCAGCTGAGGCTCCAATACTTTGGCCATCTCATGAGAAGATTCCCTGGAAAAGACCCTGATGTTGGGAAAGTTTGAAGGCAAGAGGAGAAGGGGACAACAGAGGGCAAGATGTTTGGACAGTGTCACTGAAGCTACCAACATGAATTTGACCAAAGCCCGGGATGCAGTGGAAGACAGGAGGGCCTGGTGTGCTCTGGTCCATGAGGTCACAAAGAGTCAGTCATGACTTAACGACTAAACAACAACAAATGATGGCTTGTCTGTAACCTACAGTTTTGGCCCTGAGGAAGCAGTTGTTTAAGCTACCATTTCTCAGACTATGATTTGGAACCTACGAGTGGGCCTCAGCCCCTTTTTATGTGGGCTTCTCTGATGCAGTCTGCATAGTCCTCCTTTGCTTCACTGTCTCATGGCACAGTAACGTCTCAGTTCACTGAAGGAAAGGTAAACTATGCAGTTCCCTACAAGGAACATATTAAGATAAAGAAGAATATCCAGAGAGCAAGATGGATAAGATATCATAAAATAGTACTGGTAATTATCAGCTTACTGTGTCAAACTCTACAGTCATCTGTTACCCTTTTGTAACTGGCTCCTCCTCTCTGTTACCATTTTATGAATGGTGGACTAAGAAATGTTCAGCTCTTCTAAAAGGGTCATCATGCAGAAACATTCAGAACCTCTGGTTTAAGCTTTAGACAGAATATCCTACATTCAAAATATGAACCCATCCTATCCATGTCAATTAAAACGTAAGTCCACTGGATTCAGTGGAATTTATTACCAGAAAACAGTGCATGGGCTTGTAGCTTCTCAGGTCACATAGCTAGGATTTTCAGGATTTCCTACTAGAGAAAATAACTGCAGTAACCTTCTATTTGATGTTCCAAATATGTGGGCACAAACTTTCCTGAAATATTGGGCATTTCTAAAATTGTTTGATTTTCCTGTATCTGATAAACATTGCTGGCTAAATCTCTCATAATTAACAAAGCTTTCTTTTATTGGCTAAGTTACCAGGAGAAATGTTTATATACTTTGGCACAGAAAGTGAAGGAACTTTAGTCCGCGTTGCTATCCTATAATTATACTGGAATGGGGAAGCAATTAGTTCATAATTATATGGGCAATTAGCTTTCCAAAGAGTTTTCAAAAATATCCTGTGCTTTTAATAAAAGAAAGCCTACGCGATGATTAGCAGATGAAAAGATTTGGTTAATAAATTATTCTTTCCTTTTCTATTCTAGAATGGTTTATGGAAAAAAGGAAATCTGCTGTACAGTACATGTATTTTCAACAAAGAGGTATAAAAACTTGAAGGATGAACCTAGCATGAATTTCTGTCCACTAGAGGGTACCAGAAAAGCAATAATGTGCTGCTGATACAAGTTCTCTGCACAGGTTTACAGATGAATAACAGTTTGGTGTTATACAGCATTTTAAATCTTGTTTTATTATACCCAAAGCATTTCTTTCAGCATTCTTCATCAGATACTGTTCATATTAGATACATTAGATATCAGTTCTAGTCAGTTCTAGTTCTATCAGTCTAGTCTGCCCTACCATGTCCGGTATACATAGCATTTAGTTGGCTCATCTGTCCCTAAACTGTTTTCTTCATTTATATACTTGGAACCTGGTTTTAATTTTTCTTCAATATATAAGCCAACAAATAAGTCATAATTTGATGAAACCATTGTGCTAGACAGCTAATTATATTTGGCTATGCAGCTGCATCATTGGACAAATGAAGCTGTACTGCTTCCCCTTGTGGATGAGGAGAGCTCATAACTTTTGGGAAAAAAATGATCAGGCCAGTTTCCTTGTCTTCCCATCATTCAGTGAAAAAAGCACCAAGCATTATGATAAGATGAAGAGAGTCTCCAGCTTGCACTGGGAAGACAGGCATATTTATCCCTCTGATTCTTTTTCCAGAGCCACAAAAATGTGCATAAAAACAGAAAACACTGCACCGTCCATTTGGGTTCAACTTTGGGAGTTGCGATCAGAGTATCTTTTAAGATCTTCTGGGGAGGGCCTTCTCTTCTTTCCACCATGTTCCTAAGCTGATTTGGTGAGGGCATGAGAGAGGGCCTTCTTAAAATATAGTTTTTGTATAGTATTTTAATCCTGTAATGATAGTATATTTTAATTGTTGTAGGCTGCCTTGGGTCTCCTATGAGGGAGAAAGGCATTATGTAAATAAAATGAAATAAATATTTCAGAACCTGAAAACAGTTTTCCAAGGGCAAGATACATAGAATTTCATAGATAATAACAACTCCTATTTTCATTGTTGTTATGCCAAAAAGAATCTTTTTTGTTTAATAGAACAAAACGCCCCCCCCGGGGGCCTGTTGTCCTCCCAATCACATTCCTCAGCATATGACTGTCTTTATGGAGCTACTGTATCTCAAACAGAAAACTACATATAAGGTTCCTTCCTTCTAAGAAGAGCCACACATGCTTCCCACACTGCTGATCACCAACTGAAGGGGGAAAGAAGGGTAGCCAAGGGGAGTGAAAGAAAGCAAGCAAGCTAGCTCACACCATTCAAGCATTGTACAACTGGGGCTGATATGAGTCAATGTCACTTCAGTGTGGCACAGAACCACTAGCGTTCATGCTCAAACCTTTCCTGACTGCTTCTTGGTGGGTATAAGAGAAAGTACAACACATGTTGGCAGTTGCTGCAGAGCCTAACTCTTAAAGCTAGAGGCCCCATTTCTGACTTCAAAGCTGGCAATTCTAATTCCCTTCCCACAGTAGAATTAGCTGAAAAACTTGTTAAAGATTGTTGTTTTTGCCTCTCCTTCAGAAGCTGTTCTTTAATATTAGTTCAAGATCCAATTTCTCATCTACACAAACCATATTAATAAAGTGTATTTGCAGAAAGTATCAAAGGTTAAACATTCCAATTTAGATTAATGAAAATCTTCAGCAGGAATGCCTACACTAAAGCATGACCTGTCCCATAATAAAATTGTCACCGTCAGAAGATGACTTTTAAATGAAAACTGCACAGGTTCCATTCTATCCTACTCACAGGTACTAAATGGGAAATACCCCCCCCCAACAGTCTGTTTTATTACCCTTTGAGTCTCTCTATCCAAATAGAGTGCTCTCTGCCATCATGAAACTCTCCAGATTCAGGTTTGATGGTGATCCTACGAGGGTCTCGTACTCCATTAGAGATATGCACTTCTAGTCGACCTCCATTCAGGAACACAGCGTAATAGGCCTGCGGTGAGAACCAGCACTTTGAGCAAAAAAACTCTATAGTTTTACTTTCATCCAACATAGCACACCCTCTCCTTTTTCATACAACAGAGAGGAAATTAAACCACAGAAAATAGCTACCATGTATTTTGTTACTGATGAACTGGGAGAAAATGATATAATTTTAACCACTGATTGTGATTTAAACTTAGCATACATTTCAAATCTGCAGTACATAATGTGTTACTAACTGGAACCCCTTCTCTAGGAAAGTCCTCTTAGAAAACAGAATCTACAGGACCCACACAAGCTTCTGAAAGGAAGAAATATTGTGGCCAGAATCTTACTGATTAGTTGCTGTTTTTATTGCAGTAGTGTAAATTGTAGCAATGAGTTGCTGCTAATTAACAGGTTGCCACTTGTATCCCTCAGTGTCCAGCAACTTATGTGACTAATGCACGACAGGGGATACAAGTGGCCACTTGTTAATTAGTGACAATTTGCCACTCCAATTTATGTTGGTGTAACTAACCAACAGGATTCTGGCCTTTTTTTTTACTTGATACAATACGGTTACCAGCAAAATGATACTACCTATAATACTATCTATAATACTATCACAATAAAAATTTGTTGGGCTGACAGTGTTTGAATGTTTTAACAACTAAAAAACAAAACAAAGAATTCAGGGTAAAGAAAAAAACAGGTTTGTGTTATACTGGACCTTTTTTTTTAAAAAAAGAAACTAATGAGTGAGCAGGGCCAATTGAGTGCTATATAAAACAAAAAGTCTTTAATGGAAACCATCATGTGAACCAAAATGCCAGGCTGTAGATAATGTTCTTTTATGACAGAGAATATATAATCATCATCATCTTAGAACTGCAGAGCTGGAACGGACCTTACGGATCATCAAGTCCAGCCCCTGTCAAGGAGGCACAGTAGGAAATTGAACTCCCAGCTTCTGGCTCCACAGCTAGATACCTAAACCACTGAGCAGTTCATAATTTTATCAAACTAGATGAAAGACTTATCTCCTCTTGAATCGTTGATATGATGCTTTCCTGCAGTGGCAAAATGTTCTCAGAACTGTGTACCTGAATAATCAGATTTGCTAACTGAGCCTGTTTTTACATTTTCCCAAATCCAGTCACAAAAGAAATCAAGCGATGGGCGAAAAAATTGTGCTTGGACAAAGAGGTTTCTTTTACTGCTTTTAAGTGGGAACTGACTGGCTAGTTAGTGACCCTCTGTCTTTATTCACTAAAAAAAAACCCCTCAACCCCTGGAAAAAGTCATCTTTCAAGAGGCAGGCAATGATGAGCAACATAGCATGTATTTTCTATATGCACTTTCTGCAACAACAGTAAAAAGAAAAACCTTGTGAATTACTTGGCTCAATAAATTATAGTATAAGGGATTAATCTTTTTTGGAGTAGCTAAGGACATCTTACACAGGAACCTTTCGAATCTCCATTATATTACTATATTACATTATATTCTTTCTCTCTCTCTCTCTCTCTCTTCTCT